AGGCCGGGCCCGAGGAGGAGGAGGAGGAGGAGGAGGAGGAAGGGGGGGTCTGGCCGGGCCCGAGAGCAGAGCTGCCTTTTGCTTTTGCCCTGCCTGTCCACCTCCCCCTTCGCCGGGCCCGGTCGGTTCGTGATTCAGCTGAAGAGCTGTGCCCCTCTCCGGTCAGACAGCATCTCCTGACCCCCGCTGGATGCCCGATCTCCGCCTGTGCGGGTGGAGGAGGCCCTGCTTGAGCGGTGAGGAACGGCACAGCCCTGCCCTGTCCCGGTGCCCTTTCCCCGTTGCAGTCCCCGACAGAAACGCTGCTCCACGGCAGGCCACTTCTGCAGGGGCACCCGTGGGTCCTGCTGGCCTGGCGGGTGTTTCTGTCTGGTACTTGAAGATCGCGGATCAGTGCTGAAAATCTGTGGGCCAGTATTTTTTCAAGAAGGAAAAAAAAAAAAGTACTAATAACGAGCATCACTTCATTTTGTTATAAAATCAGTTTTGCTTGCCGTTGAAAGGCCGAAAATGCATCAGCAGAAAGGAATTCGGAGTACAGGTGGCATCCGTAGAATTATGCGTGGGCCACAATTCATCAAAAGCAGAGAAACAAAGACCCCCCAATTAAAGCATTTAGAATGAACTTAGGTTCATATATTGACTAGAATAAAATAAATAAACCAAGGCTTTTTTTTATCTGGGAATCAGTGGGCTTAGTTGTGAAACTAGAACTGTGATCTTTTTGATGAAAAGGCCCCATCCCCTTGTGTCCTACCTAACAGATTTTCTTAGCAGTCGGTCAAGCTTGCTTTGGCTGTCATAATGACATGCAATCTGCTGGATTTCTTAGTATGCCTGAATATAGGAAGGAAATACTTAGCAATGGATCTGGTTCTGTAGGGCTCATTTATATTTTCAGGAGTAGGCTCTTTATAGAGGTATTCACACTAACATCTGTGTAGCAAATAATGATGCTAATGTGTGTTTGCTGTTGTTGGAATTTTTTTTTCTTATAGGGCACAACTATCTTCTCTCACTTGTGTATCTCTGAGAGTCTAAAACACAATTTCTTGACTTTATAGCTAATTGTTTTGTATCAACTCGGGTAACTCTAATGGTTTTGTTCATCTTTTTTGTGTATGCTGCTTTGATATATGTTTCTCACCTCCATTTTAGGATTATGCTAAGGAAAGATATGGAGTGTCATCAATGATACAATCCCAAGAGAAACCAGGTCAGTTAAAAAATGAAAAAGGTTCTTTAAAAGGGGAGGGGGACGGGACACAAAAAAAAAAAAAAAAAAAAAAAAAGAAGTTATGTACTTGATATCTTCAGTACTTGTTTGAGAAATCATTTACCAAACCTTTTCATTCAAATCCTGCTGCCATTCTTTCCCTTTATTTGAATACATTTGGCACTTGTGAGGCTGCATTTGGAGCGCTGTGTCCAGTTTTGGGCTCTCCAGTGCAAGGATGACATTAACATTTTGGAGCCAGTCCAGTGGAGAGCTATCAAATTGCTCAGGGGACTGGAGCACATGATCTCTGAGGAGAGGCTGAGGGAGCTGGGCTTGTTCAGCCTGGAGAAGAGGAAGATGGGTGGTGATCTTATTGCTGTTTAAAGCTATGTAATGGGAGGGTGTACAGAAGATAAAGCCAGACTCTTGAAGGTGTGTGGTAATTGGACAGGAGGTCATGGGCACAAGTCGCAACACAGGAGATTCTGATTAGATAGAAGGAAAAAAAAAAAGAGTGTGGATATTGGAGCTGGGTCCAGAGAGGTTATGGAATCTCAGTCTTTGCCCTTGCCTGGACCACGCCCTACACAGCTTGTCAGTTTTAGTTTCTGTCCATCACCAGGCTTGATTTTTTTTGGATTAATTTATTTATAATGTACTGAGTCCTGAGATGTCAGTTTTTTTCTTTGTTTGGAGTAAGTTCTGCTATGGCTTGCTGCAGCAGTGCTCTCATCTGAGTAGGATATTTGTCTGCTTATGCAGCCTTCATTACTCCTGCATGTGAGCACCAAATCCATTAAGATTATATATTAATATATATGAATTTTATCATTATTCACACCCCTGTGAATTCAGGAAATCCTCATTTTCTACTGATGGGGAGTTGAGATTCAGAAAGACTTGTCAGCTGGAGAACGATCTCCCAGGCCAACATCCCAAGAAATACTAATCTTCATATTATTCAGTGAATGAAATGGGAACGAGGGAAGGTAATAGACTGGCTTCTTGTAACTTCTTCATAGTGAAATGTAAAAAAGGAACATCATCTGTGATTGCGTGATTTTTTTTCTCCTCTGAATGGTTGCTTTGGTTGAACTCCCTTAGGAAGGGGAATGTAGGGAAGAGGAGGAGCCACAAAAGCAATCATAGGTTGAAACCAACTGAAGAGGAATATTATGTCAAGAATGTAACGGGACAAGAAAATCTCTAGAGACTGTATTAACAGTCATTATTGAATAAAATACACACTAGCTGTCAAAGAAAGGGAACTGAAGTTGAAATCACATTGTAAGCCAGCCCAACTGCTGGCTGCTGTGGTCTCTCTCTTCCTGATGCCGGGTTTTCTACTGATCCATTTCAATATGCTGGTAATAACAACTTGTTTAGCCAGCTTAGCAAAGTGAAAGAAGTTGGCTAGGGGTCTGATGACTGCTGGAAGGGGCAGGAACAGAGCCATCCATAGTTAGGTGTAACCACATAACAATCCATAAATTGGTGTGCAGTCGCAACCTAAAAGGTACGATATTAAGAAAAAGGTAACTTCTCCAAGTTAGCATCTGACTGGTTAACCTGCACTGCTGACTGTAGACTGAAAGATTGCCCTATTGGATCTCCTCTCCCTGCAGTCTTCTGTGATGGCATTTGGCTCACAAGAGTTTCTGCAAGCTGTGTTTCCTCTGCCAGTTTCACACCCCATAGCAAACAACCGTGTGGGAGACCCAAGCTGGCAGATTGAGATGGTGGATCAAATCCTATTCTCATGGAGAAACTCTACCCTGCCAACTGTCTCATATTCAAAAGAAACACTCAGGAATACTGTGGAAAAAAAAATGTTGAGAAGGAAAATGGCAAAAGCTACAGGAAATTATATGAACAAGGCTGAGTGCTGCGTTTAGATCTGTTGTCCCCCTGACCCTCGATACTTGTTTAAAAAAAAGTCTCAGCCACTGTATGGGCAGGATTGAGTAGGTTTTCCATTGGGCTTAAAATACAACCTACAACACTCCTGCTGTTCTGTTTTTTAGAAGGTTTTTAGGACACCAAAATTCAGTAACAATAGAAGCCAAAATGCCTATAATAAAAAAGTTCAAGATCAGCCTAGTCCCTTCCTTGACACTAATGCCCTCCTATTTCAAGATTCAGTAGCTCCTGCCAGGGAGAGCTCTTATCAAAGGACTCACGGGAGAGTGAAGTCATCACTCAGCATCAGTACTGTATACATGCTTTTCCCCGAAGTATTCTGCTTGCATTGAGTGTCTTGGAGGAACTACTGCTTGGGGCAGGGGGTGGTGGGGAAGCAGAAATGCCAGTGTTCCCATCTGTCTACTGTATTAATTTTGTTTCTGGAGTCTGTGTGGGTACATGCCATTTCTAAGTCAGAATAACAAATTGTGGTATAACATGCAGATGCACATACCGTCTGGTAACTGGAGCCAACAGACAATACAGACACGGACATGGGTAGGAGCTCAGTTGGATGTCTGCAGCATTGTTGTTTTTAGGCTAGCTGTAGTACCTGCACTGTCCTGACGACACTGGCTGGACGTGGGAAGTTAAAAAGCTTAGAGTGATCAGAGCAAATTATTTTCCCTTTCCAAGGGATAGTCTTATTGTCCTTTTGCTGTACTCATAGATTCTTGTTCCTCTGCAGGCAAATTAAAACTCTTTTCACATGTTCATAAAGTTGTTGCATAGATGCTCCACCTTGCTCTACTGATCTCACACACACCTCTGCCTTCATTCTTGGCCCACTTCAGTCTTCTAATGTTGGCTGCCCTGGCTATCTGATGTTCTCACTTCCCGTTACATCATGTCTTTAAGTCCTTCATGCAAGCTTGAGGCTACGATTGCTAGTAAAACTTTGTTTGCCTTTCCCATTTTCTCCCTTCAGCCCCATTACTTTCATCTCCCCTCCCTGGAAGCTGCTTTCATCTTATACTGCTTTTGGCTTTCAGGTTTTTTTATTAAACTTCTCTTTTTCAAATTTATCTAACTTTGTAAAGATGCTGGCACTTCACAGAGACAGCAGAAATATTGATCATACTGTTCAAAACTCCATGATGCAAGATAAATGAACTAAGTAAACAGGCTGATGTGACAGGCAGGGAATGGGGGTCTCGGGGTGGAAAAGTGATTTGGTCTTGTATAACCCACACAGCTCTTTGGGTTTTTATCGTCTCCTCCTGTGTTTAGAAGAGGTTAGAGTTCTGAGAAAAAGATAAGGATATTTAGTATTTTGAAAAGAAGAGATTGTGCTATACACAAAAGAAATGAAAAAATACAGTTTCCCCTTAAACATGATTCAAAATGGCAGTGAAGGTGAGGTAGCATGAGTATTGAATTGGGGCTGGAAGTGTAATTTCAGACATACGAAGTGTTTTGTTTGAACTTTGTTTAAAATCTTTGTTCCCTTGTCTTCACTGGAACTGTAGCATGGTTTAAAACCTTTTATTTTTGCATTACTTAATTGTCTGTAAGCGTTTATGTGGCAAGAAGACAGAAAAATGTAAGTATAGCTTCCATTTGTGAAAGAACAAGTAGGTGGTAGTCTGAAGAGGATGGTGGGAGGCCCTTAAAGGTGAGAGCAAGAAGCTTGATTTTTATCACGGAAGAGATAAAAAAGAACTGAAAGGGATTCCAGGTGAAATGATACGTGAGAGTACAAAGGGAAGATTTGAGCTACAATATGTTGGTTGGATGAGAGAAAATGAGTGGCAAATGATTGCTTACACTAACAAATGCAGACATTATCACGAACTACTGGCATTTTAGAAATGAGAGATGGACAAGACTAGATTTGGGAAGTGTTGAAGGAGGGAAACAGTGACATAACAGTTGTTAGTTACATCTAGCTCTTTTCAGGGGAGCACATTGACAGGACCAGAGGCAGTGGGCACACACAGAAACACAGAAGGTTCCCTCTGAACACGGGGAAACATTTTTTCACTGTGAGGGTGACAGAGCACTGGCACAGGTTGCCCAGGGAGATTGTGGAGTCTCCCTCCATGGAGATATTAAAAAAATGTCAGAACGCGATCTTGGACAACTGGCTCTAGATGGCCCTGCTTCAGCAGGGTGTTGGACCAGATGACCTCCAGAAGTTCATTCCAACCTCAATCATGCCGTGATTCTGTGATCTGTTGTTGGAAAAAATGACTTTATGGTGTCTCTTTTTGGATATTGTTTTATTACCCTTTTTATGAAAGGTGAAATAGTTTTTAATAATTCATACCATATAAAAATTTTTGTGTTAAAGTTGTCTTGTTTCATGTTGATGAAACATGAACTGTTATGTATCCAAAAGACTTTTTAAAATATTTATCTAATGCAGATGGTTCCTGAAACACTAAGGATCCATAAAAAGGCTAACACCTCATTCTCTCTTTATGCTTGTGCCTGGAAAATGTTTTAAGTTTCTAACAATACAGTTTTAAGTTGACTGAGGTAATTTTAACTGTCTGAATATCAGACTCTTAGAAATACTAAAGCTTATGGCTTGTGCTGGTTGCATGTTTCCTGTAGTACTATACTGATAAAGTTTGATCATCAGAAGTTGCTGGCAAGTGATAACATCTTTATTCCCCTTTCTCCCTTCCCCAGTGCATGCGTGTACACACATACATTATTAATATATTTGAGTCAATTTCCTATCACATTTCTCTGTGCACTTTCATTCTGTTCTGCTTTTGATGTGTGTCTGTGAAGAAAAAAACTACACTGCCATGAGAATAAGCTAATAAACATTTTCAACCCCCTAAAATTCCCAGTGCAGAATAATAGGCTTGCAGGGCAAGCTGTGACTGGTATTGAGAGACAGACGGAAGGAGTCCAGAACGGCAGATGGTAACCTGGGGTAGGCAAACTTTGGAAAAGTTCTGGCGCGAAAAGTCTAGAGTGGAAGTGTCTTAGTAAATTTAATGTTATCTTGAAACAAGGGAGAAGCCTGTGATGAAAGGCAGAGAGAGTGAATTTGCTTGTGTTACATAACATAGAATCATAGAATATCTCGAGTTAGAAGAGACCCATGAGGATGAATATCTCCCTTGAAGATTTTTTTTTTGTCGAATAAGCAGTGTTTTTAACCACATACTAACTGTAAATGAGTAAGTGTAGCTGTTAGAACTGTTGAGGTTCTATGCAATGCTATGTATATCCTCGTAACTGATTTGTAGATACTACAAGAAATAAGTGTTTGAGACCATGCAAAAATACATTTGGCCAAAAATCTACAGAAAAATGCAATTAAACAAGTACATTTCAATAGTGGTATGCAGCCAGCATATTGGCAGCTCATAATGGTTGTATAAAAGTCCTGATTTATTTAAAAATATTTTCCTTGACATTTTTTATTTTTTCCTTTGCTATCCAAAATCTGGCCTTTCCAAACCATGCATTCCTATTCTTATTTAGCTTTCTTGGGTACATAGAATTTGAAGGGTTCTTTCTGATGAATCCTGGCTCCTACAATGATAGTAGTCCTAGATCAGGTTGTCAAAGAGATTCTCTCTTAAAATAAATTTTACTTGTTTTACATAGTAATACTCTTGTTGCTCCAAAATGCTCTTGGTTTTATCAAAATAAATCTTCTTTTAATTTCTAATTCACATTTATTTCTGGTTTCTTTATTTTAAGTAATAATTATTTTACAGTGATATTCACCCTACTTATGTAGATACAGAGAATAGTCATGTCACCTCTGAGCCTTTGTTTTGCTGTGTTCAACATACCAACTTTCACGTTGCACAGGGGAGCGGGGCAGACATCCCTTAGCTAGCAGAAATTCAGACTAACAAGTGCAGGTAGTACAGTGCAGCGCAATGAAGTCCTATCAAAAATAGTGTAGTCATACTGGGTTCTGCCATCCGTGAACTACAGTAAGTCTTGCTTTTGTTTTAGTGCAGTTTGACCCTGCTGTATGAGTCAGACAATAAGCTTGAACCAATTTAAAACTACTTGATCAAGTACAATTCACTGAGAAAGGAAATGGGATCTTGTGTGTTTTCAGTATATCTATTATGCTGTAGATACAAAAAATAATGTTTTGGATTTGTTATGAATTGTAGCAATGATGGAAAATGTATTTGGAGTTTAAAGTGAAAAATGTTTTTCTTCAAAAAAAAACTAAACCGTTTTAAAATGTGGTTTTTTCTGTAATTCAGATAGAGTTTTGATTCGAATAAAAGACTTGACAGTGGAGAAGGCTGATGAAGTGGTTTGGGTTCGTGGCAGAATTCATACAAGCAGAGCTAAAGGTGAGATGCCTCCAGGGTTTTTATTTTTAGTTCCTCACATTGTTAGTATAACCTGAATGTTTATTAACCTGAACCTGTTGGCTTCATGACCTGTTAGTTATGTCTTGCATACAAGAAAACTTTGCCACCTGATTACCCAGTGTTCACTTTGACTGGTTATTTTCTATTTTTTCCACCTCTCTTTTCCCAAGAGGGGAAAAGGAAATCTTGTTTTCAGCTGAGTGGAAATTGGGTATTACTATTGAATTGTAGTAAAAGTGAATTTTGGTTTCATCATATTACTAAATAATCTGTGGACAATTGTAAATAATAGGAATTTTAAAGTACTATAGTCATTCTCCTTTGGGTGTTAACAGCTGTGAGATAAAAGTTACAAGCTTCTACTGTAAAATGTACTTTTATTATAAATGTATCAGTTGTCAGAAAGGCCATATTTATTCTGCTGCATATGAATATTTTCACTATACCTTTTCTTTGTCAGGATACAAAAATCTGTGTTAAAATTTCAGAATGTTTACTTTCAGTTACCAGTATCTGACTACATCAATTTGAACTTAAAATAAGAAACATCATCTTTCTCTAACAAGACAAAGGGAAAATGCTTTTATAGGTTCTCAGTAGTGTGGGCTGTCGTACTTGGCTGTCTGACAGCCATATTTCTTCCCTGGAATCAGAAGTTCTCTCCGGAGATCAGTTTGCCATATGCAAACTTAAATAGGTTTTGGCCTTTTCAGTTGACATCAGATGCTGACAACTGTTGTACTGGTTTCAGTTATGTTTGGCAGCTCTGTAGTGAGATATAAATACCTTGTCTTCCCAAGAGTTGAAAGAAAAGAGCATAAAGAAATTGTCTTCACGAATGAAAATTAACTGTAGTCTGAGAATTGGAAATAATGCAAATGAGGGGCAAGAATCCAGTACAGAATATTGTCACAGATACCAGATTAATTTCTCTTTTCGAGGCTTCATTTTCTTAAGGAATGTCCCTCTTAGTAAGTGTCTGTACTGCAGTCAGTTAAAATAAGGTACTGCGTGGAAATATATACATATAATGCACATTTTAATTTGTATTAGAATCTTTATATTTAGGAAGTCTTGTGATTTCTGCAGTAGTTCTGTAGTGTGGTCTTACATGGAAGTCTCTCTTTGCTATGTAGAGAGATTGTCAACCCCCAAAACTGTGAAAGCCTTGGTCATTACAACTTGAAGTTGTTCAGACAGGAGACACTATCTAATTTAAATGTTACTATCAGTATAGAAATAAGAGTATCCTTATGGCTTTTTCTTTTGCACTTGTAGGAAAATTCAGATTATTAACAGAATTTAGTATATTAAAGACAGGTGTCTGTGCAGACCTTTAAAACAATGTGAAATTCAATGGTGGTTTATTACTGTCTCTGTATTGCATTTGTATACAATATCTTGTATGATGTATGCATTTACTTCAGTCAGAGTAACATATATATAACATGGCAATATTAATTTACAAGAAGCAGTTTGTCATCCTTCACCTTTGACCTCAGGAAAGACTATTGTTTTTCATGAAATAACAGTGCTTATTTTCAAAACTCTGTAACACAACCTGAACAATGAAAGCAAAAGGAGTTGATTATGGGCATGAAGTGTCCTCAATTTATTGATTGTGCTTCTTGTTCCCTCTTGGTCTGACAACACAGAACAATTCTGATGCGCAGGCAATGGTGCTAGGGAATGTCATATGCTTGTTTACTTAAGCTTTGGGGGAAAGAATCTTACAAGAAAAGCAAATGTTTAAGAGTAAAAAGTAATATTAGCCTTTCCCACACACATCGTGGCGCTGTTCCTACCATTATGGAAAGGAAAGTCTTGCGGGAAACAGGAAAATCTTAACAGAAAAATAGCTTTAGTTTTTATCAGAAGCTCGAATTTGACTCCTAAATAACCAACATATCCTTTATTTAACCCTGTCTAGTTATGACCAATAAACCAGAAAAAAAGAATGTGAACAACTGCAGAATCCAGCTGTCTCGTATAGCAAGCCACTCGTGAAGTCTGATGGAAATTAACTGAAGGATGTGTAAAGAATGGGGTGTTGGGAATTTCTGTGGGTTGTACCAAATTAAAGTGCTTGGGGCCCTGTGGTTTTTATCATAGATTGAATAAATATTATTTCTGGCCTTATTTTAAAGCCAGCCTAAGCTACTGATCACGTTTATCATTGAAGAGCAGTTGGGAAATCAGTCTGGGTTCTGCCAGGCAACTGGAACTTGCGCAGTGTGTTAGACCTGAACTTTTTATGAATGCAGAGGTTTATAAAACATCGAAATAGTATGTCTGAAAACAAGAGTACCACCAAGAGCAATTTAAATACTGGACCAGATTTTATAATAGACAACATAAAGTTTTCTCTTTGCTGGCAGATGTCTGTACCTAGCAGTGTATTAGTTTATATGATCAAATATTTTTTACTCTTTATACAAATTCCTTCCTTACATCCTTTTGTCTCATAAGGTCTTGTGTCATTTGGTACTTACATCCAAGAAAGGAAATGGATTCCTGTTTCGTTTTATGTGCTTACTTTTGAGGGGATTCCCTGTGTGGTGTCTTCTCTTGTTTGTTCCGTGACTAAAACTTTTATCTTTTTAGGCATTCTTGTGGGACACAGTATTGGTTTGTTTTATAGAAACTTAGATTAGTTTACTGTTGGATGTGAGTAAAGTGGGTCTTATACTTTTCACTTAAATACCATGTAAATATTTTGAAACACATGGAGAACATCCCACAACCCCAATTTTTTTCTCGCTCTGATGCTTCCTTTTTTCTGTCTCTTGATCTGGAAAGGCATCTAATCATGAATTAGATTTGATTATGGCTTGTCTTTTTGAGAATTTATTTTGCATGCCTTCAACTCTTTTGGGAAAAGTTCTGTTTCTTCCTACAATCTTTGTAACTGTGATATTTTAACTATTCCTATCAGTGAGGTTTGTTTGATCACTTATCTTCTGTATGATTAGAAATGTTATATTCTACAAAACATCCTCTTTCCTCATGAAAACAACTACTGTTACTCATGACAAAAAAGATTTGAGTCCTTTTATAATGCAGATATTGATCAGACTCCTAATGTTTGGCATTAAGTACAACTGCCAAACTTTTGCTTCTGATTAGTATGATAGCAGGTCCCTCCATTTATTTCACTATCTTCTTAAATATTTACTAGTTGAGTGACATTGAAGCTGTCTTCAGCTGTGTATTTTTTGTTTGAACACCTGATACATCATTGCTGAAACTTCGATCATATTTTGCTAAATTATTTGTGACTGAAATCATGGAAGCAAATACTATTTTCTAGGAAATACTGTATCAAACCACATTGTAAGTAAGAAATATTGAGGTGTCAAAGTTGTGAGATACACCTAGCTTATCCAAAGAAATTTAGCATATTGTATCCTATGGAAAAATTGTACTTGTTGGATCTAAAACACAGGCATGTATAACACTGAAGGCTCTGTTTAATTTCTGAAGCCTGCACTTTTCTCATTTAAATCTGTGGCTTAATGTTTGCCTGCAAGAAATACTTACATCCACACCATATTAGCTTCTTTACTTAGACATTGCAGCCTCTGGAATACAGAAATAGTTGTACTCTGTTTTCTGAAAATATGGAATTAATTTTGTTGCATTTCTGAAATCACAATCATAGGACAAGGTTAGTTATTTCCAATAATTATAATGTTAATTTTTAATATTTTTACTAGTTTTATATGTTTGCTTTTATTTCCATCAGTTTCTGTGTCAAATGTTCTGCATTTATCTTCTGATACTGTTTAAATTATCTGCAGCTATTTGTCAGGAATGGTAATCTACATAATTACAAATGAAAATTGCAGTGGGCTTTTTAGTGTCAGTGTTCAAGTTATATATGTGTTGATTTTAATGTTTTATAGTCTAAGTCAGCAATAACTGGGAAATAGCTACCTATAACAAAGCTTGTGGCTTCTTCCTTTTCTCAACATTTTGATGGAAATGTTATAATGTTATGACTCAGAAATTGTAATTAAAATGATGTTGATGCATTTTATCAGATACTGGTGTAGCAATGAAGTGTTTGTTGTTAATTTCTCTCTCTGAGGAAGAAGCATTTAAAATCACTGTATTTCCTTAAATCTAAGTTAAGGAGTAAATGACTATTAGAGATGTGAGGAAAAATATGAAATGATTTTAACTGTCAGCTAACAGATTAGAACAAGCTTTGTTGACTTGGAAATACCCATTTTAAAAGTCAACAAAGTGCATTATGTTCTTTGTAAATTATTATTAATTTTTATTAACTTCTTTTTCCCTAAGCTGTTCATGAATAAATTGCTCTTACAGGAATTTTTTACTTGGTTCTTTTAGGTTCTTGTCATTCACCAGAATCAATACTCCTTTTGTTCCCCTTCATTCTGAATGTGTGATGTATTATAGAATGAACATTGTTGGTTTAGTCCCTGTGGTGCAAAATTAAGCTTATTTCTCTCAGAGCAGCTTTGTAAAGTGAACTCCAGAGCTTTAATTTGAGAAGATGAGAAAAATCTCCTTTTAAAATAATTAGACTCGAAGTAGTTGTGAGCAAAGCAACAAGGAAAAGTACGATTTACTTGTTGCAGTTGAAGAACAATAGATATTTTAAAAGTTATGATTTCAAGTTTTTGTTTTGTCTAGATATTATCTTGAAACGCTTATTGTTATTTTTAGAAAAATGTCCATTCACATGTTCATAGCTGTAAGGCAGGATTATTTGATTTATCTCAATGTTTGGTGTGTGTGTATGCAGAGCTGACTAGTTTGATGTAGCTATTTGGGGGTGAGGGGATGGAGAGGGAGGGAGACACAGACATCCACCCTTAAAAGCTCAGCTTAATATTAAAGTAGTAAAGCATTTTTTCTCATTCACAAAGACCTCGAGTAACTTGTCCTTAATACACCTGCGTTGTTTTCCTTTGTATTCAGGGAAGCAGTGTTTCTTAGTCCTGCGTCAGCAGCAGTTTAATATCCAGGCTCTTGTGGCTGTGGGACAGCATGCAAGCAAGCAGATGGTAAAGTTTGCTGCCAAGTAAGTAAGCAATTATATCCTGTTGTCAGAGTAAACAATGGTGGGAACCAGGACTCCCAGGGGTTGGGACCATTTTCACACATTAACATCAATGCTTCGTTTGTTTTAAAATGTAGTTATTTAAATTGTCAGCTCACTATTGCATTGAATACATTACACTGACAAAAGATAAAATAGAGAACAGGCTTGAAATTCATTCTGAACTGCTGAAGCAGCATTCTCTCGCCATAGACAACCTACATTTACTTTCAAGCTGGCTAACAAAAAGTCTGGCAAGCTGAGCTTAGTGGGCCACTTCATTTTGTGTGTGGTGTTTGTGTATGTCTGCACATGTTCGGGTTTTTTTTCTACAAGATGTGCGGTGTAGTAATACGTTTTATAGCTAGAACTGATGTGAAGAAGTTCCATATTGCAAGTGGCTTACTGAGTTGAAGAAATTAAGAGTAGCTTCTGTCCACTGAATTAATCTTATTTACACCTTATTTTTGGCATTAGAATGTTTAATGAGGGATTTAAGTTAATTTTTAAATATTTGGGGGGGGGGTAATGGTTGGACTTGCCAATGAAACAAGTGTTTGTTGCAGTAATTTAAATTCAGTTACTTGGTTTGTTTTGTTCTTAAAGATAAAAAATTACCCTCCCCTGCTACTTGCCTCAAGATTGTGCTTTTGGGTTGTCCAGTACTAAATATGCTTGCATGACAAAGGTGTTTTTATAGTAGAGCTTTTAATCATGTATATCTGCTTGTCCACAAATAGAAATGAGGATCAATTTGGTGCAATAATATGTTTAACATGTGGCACTTGAGTTGCTTCTGTGTAGTTCTTGGCACTACTCTCATGCTTGGGAAGGGAGCCCCCACTAATTAGCTGCAAAAGTGCTACAGCCTTCAACCTTCAATATGTCAGGGAGAGGAGGGATTCATTATAGTATAGACTTCAGAAGCCAAGTTAAGAAGGTTAGGATAATGCTTCTGCTGATGAGGTTCAAGGCAACGGGAAAACAGAACCAGCAGTGTTTGTTGTTTGGCGGTGCTTAGTGTTGGCAGTGCCAGTGTGAAGCATGCTGTTTACAGGTGTTTATGAGCCAAAGTGAAGTGTTCTGTTTCTTCGTGAGATAATTCTTTCGAAAGATTCTAAGCACTGGAGAGAACAAACTAAGTGTATAATCTACTTGTTCCCTGATTCATCTCCCTCTAACCTACCAACAGTCTGCTTGTGCTCTCTCAATGAACTTCTGCTACAGAATGGTGAAATTACTCTTACAGTTGTGATGCTCACTCTCCTCCAGTTCTCTCCAACATCTCTCTTTGTCAGTTTTCTTCGTGGTTCTTTCCCCCACAACCGAATTTCTTATGTTTCATGAGTGGCAGAAGTCAGTGGTTAGGAGCTCATGAGAAGGAAGTTGGTTCTTACTCTTTTCTTCCGTGTGCTGACTCTGCCACTTGTAAGCCTTCCATGCCTTTTTTTTTTATAATTCACTAATCTTTTTTTACTTGGTTAGTTTTCTGTTGGGTTAGTGATTTAAACTAGGTCATGGAGGTCCAGAGCTAACAAGGAGTGGTAAATGGTGGAAAAGGGTATCTGGAAAGAGTAGAGGGCAAAGCTCCTTTCTCTTCTGGCAGCAGTGAGCTGTTAAATCTGACGGAGCCTCATCCTTAGGTTCTTTCCAACTCCCTGTCATCTCCCCACTTTTCTTGATGTGACAGACCAGATTTCCTCTGAGTAGCCAGACTCATGATGCTTGTGCTGTGTTTTGACTTTTCATTCGGCTCCTTTTTGTGATAGCATTTGCTAGCTAAATCCTAATACTTCAGCCTCTCTAATTTATAGCATGCACATTTTACTCATTATTTGTGCTTCTGAAATGCTTACACACTTATCATCATGTTCTTTGAATGATAGAACTTTTTCTGCTACAGCCTTGAGGGTTTGCTTTTGGTTTTTTAACACCATTAGTGCAATCATCTTCTCATGATTCCTTCCCACCAACAAACCTGTTTTATTAATATCCTGCCATGCTCTCACTTTTTCCAATGTTTTATCTTCTTCTACAGTTTTGTCTGATACTGCCATTACAGCTGCCTCTTGTTCCCTGACTTCTAAGTGCACTTGTGGTCACTGTGCCAGTAACACCTGAAGCACAGTGACAGTATGTGCCTTGTCTTCAGTCACTTTCCTGCTAGTTTTCACCTGCTGTGGAATGATGCCATTTTTACTAGCAGATGAGGCTGGTCTTAGATGTCTAAAAATAACTATACTGTTTCTATGTCTTCCTCAGTGTCTTTTTTCATCATCTCCTCTTGTTTCCTAGACATTAAATCAGGAAATACACATTTATTGAAGAAAACATTTAACTTAAAGACCTTACATTTCAATTAAATTTAAACTAAACTTTTTTACCTGTAGTACATAAACTTTATTTTTCATGTGCTACTTTCTCATATTTTGATACTGGGTCCAAAGCTTTCTTTAAAATAGTTTGTGAAATTCTCGATCGTGAATTTTTAATGAGAACTGATTAAATCATGAGCATTTTTTGTACAAATTTTCATAAATAATAAACAAACCAGTTCCTCTTTTAGATATTGGCACATGGAAAACAAGAACTTTCATAACCTTTTGTGGTCTAGCAACATTCATTTACTAATTATCTCCATTATTGTAAGAATGTGAGTTCTTTTTGGTGAAAAACACTTAATACTGGTTTAACTCAGTTTTACAAAGAAATTTCTGCAAGTTTAACTATGAAAAGTTTCTAGCTGAACTTTCAAAAGATACATAGCCAACAACAGAGCCAGCTGAGATACTGGACTGGCAGCTGTGGAGTTCTTATGTCTTCCATAAAAAAAACCCAACAGCCTAGTCCTGCAAGGGATGCTGTATAAGAGAAAGCATAAGTCTCTTTCAGCCAGCAGAGGTGCCAAGTGGTGCAATTAGTAATTTATCAAGCTGCTTTTTTCCATAAAGTATTGGGTGTGGTCAGTTTTGGTTTTCTTTCTCTTTTTTTTTTATATCAGCATTGGGCCTGCCCCTGCTGCTACCATAGCCACGTGGTATGATCTAGCAGTTGGGAGAGGTGGTTAATAGATTCTAATTTAGCTGCCCAAACAATGTGCTCTCACTCAGGAAGTAAATTGATGGCTCTTTATAGTAGGCCAGAGAATGAAAATCCAGAAAAGAGGTTAAAAAGGCGGGGTGGGGTGGGGAAGATGGCTAAACCTGTATGGAAATACTTCACAATGTAGAAAAATATACCTGAGTTAATCAGCTAGATAAATAGGATATTGCAGAAATACTTTTCTTTATCCATTTCTGTTTAATTTTTATATCAGTGATCTGGAGGAAAGTGTCAAATCGCAGCTGTTACATTTGCTGCTGACACAGAAATTGGAATGGTAAACTAGCGGCTAGGAGTATATAGTAACCAGGGTTCATTTAGAGTGATCACTTTGATGCTCTTCAGTGTGAATTTGTACCTTTGTGATCATTAGTTCAGATTTTTGTATGTTCAGGATTAATATGTAGGGAAGTAAGTGGTGAGAAATGTAAGATCATGATCGATAACTGACTTAACAGGAGTCCATGCAGTTCTCATACCTACTATGCTAGGAGATCTCTTGAGTTTTGAAAAAGAGCAATAAAATGCCATTAATGTAATATATGCCTGTCATTAGACCATTTCTGGAATATTTTGTCCACTTCTGTTGTCTTTGTGTCTGAATATATGTCAAATTGGAAAAGGTTGACAGTGAAGCTGCAAGATGAAATGATACACGGTCAGGCAAATCTGCCTTCCTGTGAGACTAAAGAAAACTCTAATCTATCCAAGAGAAATTAGTAAATAATTTAAATTCCAGTCTGATGGTAACTATGCAAGAAGATTTTCTGCCAGCGGAGGGTTCTTTACTTCGCAGATACAAAGGTATGACAAGATGCAATGAACAGATGGTGAAGCTGGATAAATTCGGAAGGGAAGTAAACTGGAATTTTTTTCAGTGAAATGATTAAAAATGTGTAGTGGATTTTGTTACTTAAAATCTTTAAAAGAAGATAGGCTTTTTTTCCCCTGGAAGATACCCAGGTTCATCCAGGTGTTAGAACGTTGGTATAGGAAACAGATTATTTTATTTTTAGAACAAAGAGAATAAGAATAGGTATTTACCTTGCTTTCATATATACAATGTCAGTTAACTCCCATTTCAGAGGGCTTAATGGGTACTTACTGTATTTGTGCAGATGTTATTACAGTTGCTGTTACTGAGTTGAGTATAAAATGTTTGTACTTTCAACTATTTACAAAACGAACTCATTTTTTCAAAGTAAACTCTATTGCCTTCAGCTTTCACTGACATTCAGGTAAATGATCATTGATTATTACGTTTTATGACAATTATTTAATATGTTTTAGATTTAATAATGTATTAATATAATAATTTGTGCATTCTGCTTACAGAAAAGTGTTGAAGAAAAAACAAGAAAATGTCCAAACAAGTATAGATGCTTCCATTAAGTAAAACATTTTCTATTTAAAGTCTATAAATAACCAAGTTTCCTCCAATTCTTCAGACTTTTGATCAAGAAAATGTAGACTGTGATTCACTTAAGGAGGCCTGCATGGGGTTCAGCTTGCAACATGAAGCTGTTGATGAAAGATGTTGTCATACAGACTGCAGTAATGCAATCCTGTGGTTAAAAGAGAAAGTCTTGGCTAATAGACATGCAGATAATTAAGAGGGACATAAGGCATCTAGTGGACATTTTAGTAATTATAGTCTTGATTTTTTGGAAGGAACATTACATATAAAGAAGCAGTTTGCTATACAGAGAAATTTTTTAGCATTGGACTTGATGAATACTGAAATAGCTTCCTTAAGGATTAAACAATAGCAAGATGTCATCTGTCTGTTCTTAATGCATCATGCATCCTAATTTAGTTTCTAGTCCTTTGTAATATTAGTTACAGATGGAAATATTGTTGTCTTTAATGGAAATGGTGATAGCTTTGGCATGCTTTTCTGCTACTTGTTCACTTTTTTTGGTTTGTTTGGGGTTTTTTTGTTACTGAGGGGAATTTTATCAAAAAATCACCTAGATGACTTAGTGCTGCTGCTGCAGAGAACACTCTGCTGTAGTTACTGGCTTTTAATTAAAGCATCTTGTTTTTTGTTGTAACTTGAACTGAAATTACCCTTTCAGTAACATTCTTGGAATTACCTGTTGGGATCAAAGCAGCACCTTCTAGGTTTCTGTAGTTTACATTTGATGCGCTATGTTAGGGACTTAAGATTTTTCCAGCACTAGATCTTGCTGAGCACAGTTCAGACAGAACTCAAAACACGAGCTTTTACTTCCATACCAGATGAGATATGTAGTCTAAATGAGCAAAAGCATATTTTCTAATTATCAAATGAAAGTTTAGAGTAGATCATGAATGTTCATAAATACAAAGATGGTCACATGCAGTAGAAAACTTCATAGTGCTTTTTTGTGCCCAGGCAATTATATGCATATTTGGATATAGGGACCTACATAGGTAGGACCTGAGTTGAAATACATCTTGAAATTATGGCAAATTTAATGACTAAGGGATGTTACAGTTTTAAAGTGTGTTCCAGACCAAGAAATATACTGGCTTAATTGCAACTCCAGTTTAGAGAGAGAGAGAGAAAAAAGCGTATTTAATCACAAATGCAAAGTTTTAAAGTTCTGTTATGCAAGTTTGCAAAGCAATATTACAGCTACAGTCATGTAAAAGTCAGTTTCTTCCTGTATTTTTATGCTGATACCGTTTTGCATGTCTTGATCAGAACATGCACAGAATTCAAAGCTCTGTAATGACTTCACTGACAGCAGTTCTCAGCCATGGGATCAGTAATCTGATTATGAATCCATCATACAACACATTTACATTTAACTGCTCTTTTCTTTTTCACAGTCCAGATAATTTGCTTCAGTAAGTTTAAAACATTATTTTTATTTGCAATTATTAGTGAGAGGGCTTCTATTCAGCAGATTAGAAACTTCTGCTTTCAATGAAGACGCTGCTATTTGTGTTATTAGTAGTGTTTTCTTGGCATTTGCCAAAATGTTGACATGAAAAAGGAAGCAGGAAAAATAGAGGAGAACTGTTAAGGGAAAAAAAGTTATCACAACAGTAAAACCTTTATTCTTCTAAACATTCACTTATTTGAAAAGCAAAGGGAATTTATAGTTATGCCTAATACTATTTTAACATGATATATTCTCTGTGTGTTTCTTATCATCACATTCTCTTGCATCCAAAGCATTGTATTGCTGCCTCAGTCTTTTTAAGGAGTTTTAAACAATCATTTGTAAGTGAGTGTACTTCTAAGCACTTAGTGTCATTTCTCCTTGTCTGTCTTGAATTTGTTGCCTCTGCTTAAATAATGGAGATGAATGGAGGCTCACCCTTAACTAAATGAATTCTGATTTAAAGCCTACTGTTGACCTCTGCTTTGTACAAATTTAGTCATTTGTTCATTATACTGATTTGAGCAACTGTAGCTCTTTTAAAGTGGAAATGTACCAGAAAAACATACTATTCACAAATTTTATGCAGTATGTGGAATTACCTAATGGTTAAGCAAGTCAAGCATATGAAGCACTGTGGTCTGTAGAACTTTTAAAGCAGCTGCCAATGATTTCTACCACCTGAAAATATTACCATCAAAGAAATAGTGTAATCAACTAAAATGCTCAAATTTGGCTTTTTTTTTTTTTAGTTACTTGTAATTTATTTATAGTGATGCTGTTAGGATTTGAGAATTTTGATGCTCGAATTTTCCACTGTTACTTTAATATCATCAGATTTTTCAAAACTTTGATCATTTTTATTCAAAAATTCTGTTGGATAACTTAAATTTGAACTCAGCTTTATAACATTAAAAAGTTTGTCCCAGGGTAGACCAAAGATCCATCTGCCTTTTCTTAGGGCTGATATGGCTGCTTCAGGAACAGTAGAAAGCAGGGCAAGCAAGCAGTCATAGTTGGCAACACTTGGTGATTTGTATCTCAGCTGCTTCTGGGTCACACCACTCAGGCTTTATCAGAGAAGAAAGCTAAGTTTCCCTCATCATCTAAAAAGAGAAACTTAATTGTTTAGCCGGGTAAATCCTACTTCAAAAATGTGAGAGAATGACTAATTCCAAACATTTATATTTCTAAAGAGGAACTTCTCAATCCTAATAAGTTTCTCATGTGGTTTTACTGTAGCTGTACAAAAAGACTGTAGGGCTAGAATACCTAGATTTTGTTCGCAGCCCTTAGACTGACTTAGTCCAGGCAGTGCTAGATAAACTGATGCAGATGCAAGTGATTAGGACTATAGTTTCAGCAATAGCTTGAACATGCTTGTACTCTGTCCTTACCTCCTTTAACTGGGGGTTACTGCCCCTCAGTAAAACCTCCTGTGCATATAAATATTTATCTCACCACCCTCCAAGTTAGTTGTGTGGGTTTTATGTGTTTTGTGAGTTGGGTTTTTTGGAGCATGGAGAGTGGTCTTACTGAAAAAAAAGCCAACCTTGTAAACTTGAAGCTTGTTAATTGCTCTTTGCTTTACTGAGGTCAGTAGTGGCCAGCTTGTCCAATGACATCCTTGCTTACCTCTTATTATTTGCGATTAAATTGTGGGCCTGCTACTTTCCTGCTTTCTAAGGATTTATGTGGTCAAGTGATGTACATAAAGTGCTTTCCAGTCTTCTCAAGAAGGCCTGAGAAGTGAAAGATAAAGTTAATTGTAACGGTTATTTTTCATAAAAAGGAAAGAAATACTTTCTGATATTTGGCCTTTTGTAAGCAGGCTAGCAAAGAGACAGAGTGAAAATACATTTCCAGTGGGGGTGAGATTATCTGTAGAAAATTACTGGTTTAAAGTCCAGTACCTTAAATACCTAAATAAAAACTGCTCATACAAATTATTTTCTCACTTACGACTCTTGAGGCTTTTGTTATTGTTTGCTTATAGCACACATACTTTATATCATATTTTTGGAAGACTTTCAAGATGTTACATGGTGTTTTAATGTGCTATTAGTGACTCTTAGTGGAGAGCAATTCAGATGTCCCCTGTCATTGAGAAATGACTTACAAGCATGTTGCATCTTTCAGTAACAAGTCATGTAGTTTAAACAAGCTCGATCAGTTTTGATTTTCCCCTCTAGATCTGGGACTTCCTTTTAGTTTGTTGTTCTGGTGGTGAAGAGACATCTTTCAGATAATTGCATCAGCTGACACATACAAGAGTGTGGCCTAGAAAAAGAACTATGCGATTTGTCAGTTTATGTATACACATACAGAGAACGAGTGAGCACTTAAGCTGAATCATAACTCTTTCCCTCCCAAGTCTTGCATCGCAGTTTGAATTTATTGTGTCTGGGAATATTTTAGTAAAGTCCTTCATTACTCAGTTGTTACATATATAATAAGTAGCTCTACCTAAGTCCTTAACTCTGTTTTATTGTTCCAGCAGTCCATACAGTACATGAACATTCTAGTGCTCAGTACGGAGTCTGATGCAGTGTGCAATGAAATTTAGTAAGGCTTCTATCCTATCTTTATTGACAGCATCAACAAAGAGAGCATTGTGGATGTAGAAGGCGTTGTGAGGAAAGCACATCAGAAAATAGGAGGTTGTACTCAGCAAGATGTTGAGCTTCACGTTCAAAGGGTAAATTTTTGAGCAAATGGAGCACTGGTTAATTGTTTGAGAGATTATCTGTCTAGGCTGTCTGTCTACATGCATAAACTTTGTCAGTAAGCAGTCCCATGCCAGATAAATAAACTGCTTTAAACTACAAATTTCAGTGTATGATATGTAAACGTGAAACATTTCTGGTTTTAAGAGATGTGATTTTTAGAATTTCCTATTTTTATCTGCCATTTGAATTACAGTGCCAGGTAAAATGAAGTATCTCACTAGAATAATTTGTCTAGGAATGCTTGTAATTCTAGTTATTGATTTGTAACTGCAGCAGATACTGTCATAAAAAAATCTGCTTCTTTTTAAGTGCAAGTCAGAAGTTTCTTCTTTATCAGAAAGTTACAATCTTCCCCCTAGTACAATGGAATGGAATATATAACTCTTAGCAAAAGTAAAGCACTGGCTTAACAGTATAGAAGCCCTTGAAATCTAAAATTCCTGTAGCTTGGCTGTAGGGCTAGAGGAAGTGCAACTTTATAATTTGTTTAAATAGAAAGCGTATTTAAACGTTTATGTAACATCCTTTCCTTCTAAAGGTTTTCAACCAAACTATATGCCTGCAATACAGCTGAAACACAGTCACTTCAAGAGTAGAGTACAATGGCTATTGTATTTATAGCAGTAAGGTAAATTTTAGCTAACAGCATTGGGGAAGATCTGCAGATTTTGAAGAAACATGTTTTAATATATCTGCAGATTATCATATGCTTAATTTTTCTGAAAGAATACCAAATCCTGTAAGGTACCAAAGACTGTAAGGCAAGGGAAGGTGTTTTTCATTCTCTGATTGTATTTTAGGTGTCTCATAAATTTGCAATCTGAAATGGCTCTTTCACATATAATCAGATGATAAATAAAATAATACATTAACAATGACAAGAACAGGATGATTTTACTGGAATCAGAACCTAAAATTCTGTGAAATCTAGTAGTTTCAGACCTGACATTCATGCCAATAGGATTTGCTTAGGCAGTGTGTACTTGCTCAACTCAATGCTTCCCAGAAGAAAAAAAGATATTTTTAATCTTTGAAAAGGAAAATAAGAACTAAGCACTTCCAGTATTGTCATGAGAATGCACCCATGTCTCTTAAGTATTTGAATAAAATCACAGTCTTATAGCTAACAGCCTATGCAAACACTGTTTCAAGTCTATGCCAGAAATACCCTTTTGTAAATCACACCTTCTTTTGAACTGAGTCTCATGCTATTTCTGTTCGTGTCTCAATTTCAGATCTATGTGATCAGTTTAGCTGAACCCCGCCTGCCTTTACAGCTGGATGATGCTGTTCGGCCAGAAGTGGAAGGAGAGGAGGTGAAAACTTTGCATCCTCAAAATACTTTTAATTGTAATTGAACAAAAGCATGAAAGCCAGGCAAATTCCTTAATGCAGTGATTTTGGAGGTTTGTTAGGTTTGCATTTTACTTCCTTTCTGTTATCCAGAACTGCGTTACAAATCTCTATAGCTTTGATGTCTGCCGAACTGCAGTAGAAGGTCAAAACCAGAGGGTTTGCAGTCTTGTGTGTCTTCTGGATCCTCATAGTTGTGTTCTGCCTGTGACCTCTGGGAGAAGTTACACCTTAAGTTTTGCTATGCTGCTAATTTGCTGTATGTTCTTTGTAGAATGATCTAGAAATTCTACTGAACTTAGAAGTAGCCTTTGGCTTTTAGCCAAAAGATGTTTTTCTCCATTGATTTTGGTTTTGGTTTTGGTTTTTTAGGGGTTTTTTTGTTGGCTTTTTGAGGTGCATGTATTCATTATGTATCTTTGCACAACTGTTTAGGATGGAAGAGCTACTGTAAACCAAGATACAAGACTGGACAACAGAGTCATTGATCTGAGGGTAAGGAACATGCTGTGTTGCATACTTGCCTGCAACTGTTTATTCTTCACATTTCTAATCCACAAAGCAATAGAAGTCATGGATTTGATGGAAGTGTGTTTTTTGCCAGAGGAAAAATAAACAACTATTTTTTTTATTTGTGAGTGGCATTGTGAAAACACAGGGGTTTTTAATCCTAAGTATTCACCTTCCCTGACATTAATCAAAGAACATGTATTAGTAGTTTAAAGGTGAACATTTAGGATTTGGCATGTGGCCGTGTACATCTGGGCTTTTTTATTTACAAAAGTCAAAGGTGACTGAATAGGGACAATTTAGAGACAACATTTGTTCTCAAATGTAGTGTTTGATACCCAAAAACTGTAGTAAGAGCTCAGTTTTGAAGTGCAAGATGGAAGTTCTGGATTTAACCTGTAACTGAGGTGCTGTAATGCATGTCTTGCAAGTGAAACTGTACCAGGCCACGATACCAATCTCATTCTCTTTGTTTCCTCCACAGCATTTGTATCTTTTTTTTTTTTTTTCTGTAACATCTTTCTTCATCCAGGTCATAGAGACACAGCCCTCTGTGAATTCATATAACTCCCAAATACGTACTCTTTCTGATCAGCAGCAAAAAACTATCTACTAAATCACTTACAGGACTTCTTTTTTAATGAAACAGCAACCAAGACTGAGCGTGTAACTAACTAACTGTTCATACTGACATGAGGTTTTCTGGTCTCTTCCCTTATTTGGCTCTCCACAATAAAATTTGAATTAAATTTTCATTGAATGAAGAGTGTGCTTAGCTCATTTTTATGGTGTATCTAGTACTGCCTTCAAAGCTCTGATACTGGCAGTTTCCTCAGTAAATATGGACCTAGGAAATAAAGCAAAAAAGTCAGTTATTTATTGGAAAATTTGGAAAAATTCTGGCACTGAGATGTTTAAAGCATTTGAATATCTGACCTCCTTATTTCAGCAACTAAAACTACTTGTACAAACTGTTCTACTTGGACCAAAGTTAATTGCTTTTCACTTGACCTTATGTATAATATTGAGCAACTTCAATTTGTGATTACTTTTCAGGATACTCGATATTTTATCATGTTGGTCTTTTCATCTGTGTCTTAAATTTAAGCCTTTGATGAAAAGAATGCTATACTAATGGTTGAAAGTGAAAATCATTTAAAGGATCATCGGCTTATGGTAGTGATAAGGCAGTGCAGTAGATTGAAGGGAGAACTCTGGGATGCTCGAAGTGCAAGTTTTACTTGAACTTCTGGTGATGAAGAAAAATACTCAACAGCACTCCAGAGAAACTTAAGAAAATCCAAATACCTGGATAATAAACTGAAAAGAGCCATGAACTCCAAAGAGAACAGAGAAACAATACAAAGGGAAACAACAGTTCAAAATACTAGCTGAAAATAATGGCATGAAAGTATCCTTGGCTGTAATTCAGATGAGGGCATCTGCAGAGTAAAACCTAAGAATGGAAGAAGAAGGAAGACTGTAATGCCAGAATAATCACAAGAGATTTAACAAAAAGGGGTGGGCTAAAATTCTTGTTCCTGTACACATTCAGTAGTCCAGCAGCACTCTCCCAATACTTCTTATATATCTCTGCCAGTATAGTAGTCGAACATTAGTTGTCAGTATTCTGCCTGGAGGGTGCAGCTGCTGAGCTAAGTGAATGCTGCTATAACCTTTTCTAACTTATATGTCCCAATCATTGTTGGTACAACGTTTATTCAGCAATGTTTGGCACCTTGTTTTGAGGTCTGAACATTAACTCTGCCTTCTATAGAAGCTATTTTTCTCCTTAGCTCCAACAGCTGCTGCAGTGTGGTGCTAAACAGCTATTTCATGCTGAACAGGAATTCAGGTTAACTTTTTACGAAATTGATGGAAGGATGAAATGTCAAATCTCAGTACTTCAGTGCCTGATGTCTTGTCCTGTGCATGCACCTGTGGCTGGATGTAATCTGGCCACAGCTTTCCCTTGATTAGGCTTAGGTATCTATCTTGCCTTCCTCCTACATACAGGCAAAGTTTCTGTCTCTGACTGTGTCACATTTCTGTGTGTGTGTGTCTTCTGTTGCACATTTCATTATTTGTTTCAGAACAAAAGCAGATTATTTTGGAACAGTATAGAATCATAGAATCATTTAGGTTGGAAAAGACCTTTAAGATCCTCAAGTCCAACAGTCAACCCAATACCACCATGCCCATTAAACCATGTCCTGAAGTGCCAAGTCTACGTGTTTTTTGAACACTTCCAGGGATGGTGACTCAACCACTTCCCTGGGCAGCCTGTTCCAATACCTGACAACCCTTTCAGTAAAGAAGTTTTTTCTAATATCCAATCTAAAGTAGGCTCATGCCTATTCATAAGTTTGCTTTGTTTGTTCTCAGGAGCTTTGCTTGTGCAAAAGAAGATTCTAAATAATTATGTGTTACTTTGACCTGGTTTTTAAACGGAGAGCTGAATAAGCAGAAAAGGTATTTAATGGAGAAAGGGGAAATCACAGTGAGAATACATGTGCTTATATATATGTGCGCATCCTAAGCACTGTATGCAGTGGAATCACTGACAGGGACACGAAGGTAGTTTGTCCTTCAAAATAACTGAACCACCCCCACCCACCCCACCCCCGTAGTACCTGGTTTTCAGTGATGTGGTTGCATAGACTGGAGCTGTAGTACAAACGGGATTTCAGAGAACCCCTAGTGTTTTGAATGTGCTGCAGAAGTAGGCATGTTCTAAGGAGGATTAGAAGGCATGATGTGTTGAAGCCTCAGAGGGATATCTGAAACCATTGTTAGCCACTGGTCTCCCATACCTCTTCCTTCTAGGAGAACCATATCTTGGGCAGCAGGGAAGAAATGTTAACAGAACAGTTCTAACAGAGATGCTGTGATGATCTGTTCCTACAAGTGTGGGAGGAAGTCCAACCACAGATATATGTACCATTTAGTTCTGGTTTCCTCAGTGCCCCAGTTTTTTAAGGAAGGAGGAGGTCATCGAACATCAAGAATAGAGATACTATTTTTTGGAGAATGAGTTAACAAACGCATAGATTTTGGCCAGGATCAGGCTAAAAAAAGTCCTTAGTATGGAATTAAAATTATTTTTGTCCATTTAAATACAGTCTTTAATGTAGTTAAGTAGTTTAACTAATTTTATGTTGTGATTAACCAATGAGTTCATTGGTTAGGGCCAAATAGTGATAAAGTGGAGCTGTGAAACTCAGTTATTGCATGAATGAAAGGGACTGGATTTCCAAAAATGGCATCACTCCATCCAGCTGTGATGTATACCAAGGAGAGCTTGATTATGATGCAGTAGAAGGAGTGCAATTAATAAGAAATTACATTAGTGGAGATGTAATATGTAAGTATTCTGCAAAGATTGCAATACTAACATTCTTGTGTACATGTGAAAATAGACTGAGTAGTACACTGTATTTTTAAGAATCTTGCAGTTTGGTTGCTGACAAAGTTCTCCCAGAGATGTCTGGTAGGTTTTTTTGAGGTTAGGGATGCGAAGTACTTAAATGCCAAGATCCCAAGCTATTGCTATAGTTGTTATTCTGATGTGTGGAGGGAAAACGGGTGGAGGGGTTTTAAAAATCCTTTCCAAGAAATGATGACTGAGGAAGAATGAATCTGTTCCTGATGGGTTAACTCATAACATACAGATCACATACTTGTGGAGTAGAAAAAATTGGGGGTGTAGAGACAAGAGAGATGGTAAGAAGGAAGAAGTGTCCTTGTATAGACCAGATTTTCTTTCACATAACCACAGGTGACTGTGAGGAAGAAACCACTGTTGACCTAAGTATCTATTTTTCATGATAGTTTAATGAAAGTCAAAACAGTCGATTCTAGAGATGTTTGACTTACTGTTCCTTTATTGGAACAATTAAAAAAGGCAAATTGGAGCACTGATTGTGTTTCTAAATCTTTACTTTTGTGCTGTTCTTAAGTTTAACTGAAGTATTCAGTGATGTGTAGACTTTTCATGTCTGTAAAACCCCTACAGAAACCGTACTTCATTAAGATCTGTGGTAGATGAAAAATAATGAAGAAAAGACAAGTTAAACACTGGTTTTTGGGTTTTGCTTCTTAGTTTGTCTTCCTCTGAAGAAAAAATCAATTCAGGTTCATCCAGTTTTAACAATGGACCTGACTGATATCCTTGTTCTGGCTTGTTTTTCATGTCCAGCAGGGTTTTTATCCTAACAGTATCTGTCCAAATTTGATTTAAATTATACGCATTTTGCAGTCCTGATGCTATAATTGTGTCTGCTAATGCACAGCTCACTGAGACCAAAGCACAGTCTTTTTAGGGTCAATATTACCCAGTTTAAACTGCTCAGGGTAGAGCATAAACATTAAACTGTATCTTTAGTAGTTTATGGATGTCAGACTATGTTATATGATAATCCAGCTGTACATCGATCTTAATGCAGTTTTTGTCAAAATACTTGATAACTTCAAGCTTAATTTCATTGTGTTGAATTCAGTTTGCTCATTGCAAAAGCTGTGTTTTTCCTGACTGAATTCAAGCTGTAATGAACAAGCAGATGTAGTTTATTTTGTTGTGGGTAGTGATTTGATAGTGAAGACATAACACAGTTGCAGTCATTTAGACAACAAACTTCAAGTTCATATCTTCTTCTTATACTGTAAGTAATACCGAAATCTGAATAAAAATTGACTTTAATCACTTTGAGGTTAAAAAATTGTTATCTAACATATATCCTATTTCCTAGCAAAACCTTCATTTCTCATACATATAGTAGGGGAATTGCAAAATTATTTACATTATTTAGAATAATGTGTATTACTTAAAAGAGTATAGATTACATTATTTTCCCTTTTTATTTAGCCTACTTATGTATTTAGTGATTGTTCATGGTAGAAGACAGGTAGTTACAGCAGGCAGACAAAAGCAAAACTGAGGTGAGAGTGGAACAAATTCTACAGCTGACGTGAGAGTAAGAAGAAAAGTTCGCAACTTCGCACGGCTGTGCCTCAGTCGCACCTCTTTGAGATATGATCATGTAAAGTGTTAACTGCCCTCAATTCTGTTGAAACCCATTTGTTGGACTCTGGCAACTTACACGGCTATTATTCTAACACTGCAGCTTGTGTTGAATAAGACATGATAATTGCTTTTATAATCTTGCTTATAGTGTTAAAATATGGTCTGTTCTGGTATTACTAATATTTTCCTTTGTAGCATTAAAATAATAAACACACAGGTGAGATTAGAGTGAGGTTACGACTGAAACTTGTATTTCTCTATTGTTAGCCAAACATTTTTTTCTGCTGTCTGTAAGATAGGTGATTATTAAAAATAATGAGTTTTCCCGTAAAATCAATTCTGCAGACCAAGTTAAAACATTAACACTGTTAAGTGCAACAGCATTTAAGTGGCATAAGTTTGTTTCTACTTATCTCTTGAAGGAATATTTACTGTCTTTGCCATAGTCTCAGTAAGATAGTTTGTCAGTATATATGTGGAAGAATTCATATTAGAGTGAACATTACAGGAAAAGAATGCCATGGCAAAATCTTTCTTAAGGCAAAGGTAAAAATCAATTCATTTTGACAGCTGTCTCTGTAGTTTGCCACGTTGTACCTAAGTGTGTTAGCTCAAATGGTATCTGTATTACCTACCATTGTACCAAACATGGTAATATACATACCAGCATCCCAGTTAAAAACAGGATAAAAGCTTGAATTATTTTCTTCAGATAAATTCACTCTCTTTTTGTCCTGAACATTATACCAGTGCAAAGGATGTAATTAAATCTAAAAAGTTTTGCTCCATGTGTAGATACAGAATCATCTTTAAAATCTTTTGAAAGTTGTAGTGGCACATAAAACTTTTGAGGTCATCTGTTTGACTCGACTGCACGTTGACAGTTGCAGTTCTTTAGGAGCTTATCTCAAATGTCTTGTTGGTCTGTTTAATTCTTACAAGGAGACTGCAGTATCACAAATTCTCAACAGTTATCCCTGTTGGCAGTCTCTGAATGAATGGGCACTGAAACTCAGCTACCTTTGGTAGAAAGAAGAGTGGTCTTGTCAGATCTAATTTCAGGTATGGAGAATTGCTGCTTGTTCTTTCCTTGGTCTATAGTTAAATAAAAGCTTCAGTGTCCAGATCTGTGTATTTGGCTGCTTTCAAAAATGCTATTTTTTAACCATGATTTATCATTATAGATGGGATTAGGAAGACAGGGTCTTTGCCCTGCATCCTCACTAAAGCCAGGAGGAGTTACTACCTAATGAACTATTGTTAGTGGAGAACTGTGTTAGTTATTGACTGGCTGTGTTTTTGTGCACACTTCTAGGTCAGACCAAGTAATTGCTTTCAGATTGGATTTAGCAACCATTTTTCTTTTTCCTAGGACTGTATGACTTAGGACTGTATTCTTATCTGCTGTGGCATGAAACTGGTGTTGGTTCATCAGAAGGGTAGAGGAGGCATTGTTGCTGTCCTGCTTTAAATGAATGTTAAACATTTTGTCTCTTAGCATTTTTAGAAATTTGTCCAGTTTATCAAAAACTGTATTGGTAAACCCAAATGTGACTGTTTAAGTTGTCATCTCTTGGAAAATGTCTTTCACCTTCTAAGTATGAGATGGTTAAGGAAAAAAAAAAAATCCCTTTGAAGCATCCCAGTGCTTTGATGTAACGCTGTCAAATTATGCCCAGAACTCAGGCAAAGTCTTAGCGTATGTCTGATTCTGGGAGAACCATGTGAAAAAGGTGAAAAAGTTTGAGGGTACTTTTGTAACTGTTGCTCAAAACCTCATTTCCTTCATTTTGAAAGTAGTGGGAGTAGCGGCTGTGGTTAATGCTATCAGACAGTGAGAGCTGCTAGCTATTATTTACTAGTCTTAACCACTTACACTCCTGAGAAACTATATCGGTCAGCTAAAATTGCAAATAACTCCAAATTACTGCAGATCTGCAGTATTATTACAGTTCTCTGTTTTGGTTTTTCAGTGAAGTGATATCTTTATCTTGCAGAAATGATGGATGCAGCTTTATTTCAACGTATCTACTGACTGACTGTCTAAATTTGGGTGCTTATATGATTTGTTTTGGTTGGGGGTTTTTTGTTTTGTGGTTTGGTAGGAGTCATGTGAAAAAGCCCACAAGGCTGCTCTTACCCTAACTGAAAAGTTGGGTACCTTTCAGAAAGGAGAAGTAAACAGTGCTATGACGCAGATTGTCGTAAAGAACTGTTCTCTTAGTTGTTTGCAAGAATTCGTTAGGTTTTATATACGCTTCTAGGTTGCTAACTGTCAGCTCTTAAAACGCTGCAAGCACAAAATCAGATATGGGTTCAGTGTTGAGGTACTGTAGTGTTTTCAGCATTCACTAAGGGTTATTTTTTTTGCTTCATGGTAAAGCTCAAGAGTGTTACAGAACATTTAGTGGAGGATTTGCTAAGCAGATAAGTAGCTTGACTGTGTCACGTACATAAACAAACAGAAGATGATAAATTCAGCCAGATCTACTTTTGCTTTCATCTAAATGTACTTTTGGAGTAAATTCTAAAGACAGAAGAACTGCAGTTCATATGATCAGGTGTTACGTGGACTGTTTTAAATGCTAGGAGTTTAGATCTTGGTTTGGGGATGTTTTTATGTCAGTGTTGTATGTGGTTAACACATGGCTGTGTTTTTACATGAAAAATGTTGTATTTGGTAGCCTTTAATAGACACAAGCATATCTGCTTTATTTAAGTTATTGAGGGCTTTGCTTTTATCATGCACTGTATATTACTGTAGCTGTTCTAGTTCAGTGTGCTGAAAACTTTTTTTAATAGGTTTAGTGTTTTTATTCAATTTCTTACTATAAAACCTTTATTTGCAGAAGCACATCTCATAAATCAGTGATTCTTCAAATGTAGAATTGACCATACTGCCTCCTTTATAACTGAATATGCCATAAATTGAAATGAGGAGTTTCTCTTGTTTCCTTTGCTGTTTCTTTTTGCGTAATAAACAATTACTGATTTGCACTTTTCTCTGTTTAGGCAAATACAATAATCAAGTGTTCCTAAGAGAAGAGATTCATCCTTCCAGCTGTCCAGAAAAAGTAACAGAGTCAGGAAAAACTAACTTAGGATTCATTATTTTATCTTCTTCTTATAGACCTCCACTAGTCAGGCAATCTTCTGCCTTCAGTCTGGTATTTGTCAGCTTTTCCGAGAAACACTTATTCACAAGGGATTTGTGGAAATTCAGACTCCCAAAATCATTTCAGGTATTGTATATGTGATCCAGCAGCTACAGATCTGCTTCTTTTACAGCTGGTCAGCGTTCCTATCTGCTAAAAATTTAGTAAGTTTTTATTTCAAAAAGATAAAGTTCTATTTCTAATTTAGATGCAACATAGCAAACTTCTAGCAGGTATCAAAGTTGTTCTTTACTCTTCTCCTGACTTTGGATGTTAAAAGAATGACAAGACAAATATTACATATACACCTGATTTATGTAGTCTGCAGTGCATGTGAAGTTTTAATTTGGTTAAATACAGATGTCTGATCATATGCATTGTTCTTCAAATCAGTGTTCTCAGTGTTGAGCACTGCCAGTTCCATTCCCAGTATCAAAAAAACTAATTTAGATTAAAAGCAACTTCCACCATAAAAAAGTTACAACAAGCATATCATGGTATAAAATATGATGTCACTTCTTTAGCAATGAGCATATGGCTGAATAGAAGGTGGTAGATCATTTTTCTGAAAGTGTGGCACAACAGCTTCAGCCCAACTAAAAGTCTAGAAATGTAGATTTTGCTTCTAGTTCTGTTGTTGACCTGCTGTATTGTTTTCAAAAGTCAAATTACTTGATTTACTGGTGGATGTTTTTCTTACATCTTATTGGTGTTCTTTGAGGTTTTGTTGATGTTGCTAAGACATACGGCATGGAAAATGTAGGGCAGAATTTCTATAGTATTCTCATTGTATGTGCATTCATTATATGCATACATTTTGCCTACTGAATTTTATACTTCTGTCTATATTTTTGAAGACAGCTCTTGATTGAGATTAAAAAAGGGCTTTTTAACAAAATACATGTAAGCAAGTATTCTTTGAACATGGAAAGTATCACTGAACTATAAGATGAAGTAACTTTTTTCCTGGAGAGGCAGTTGAAACAGCATGAATTACTAAAGACTCCCAAGTAGTTTATTTACGTAGGACCTTTGAGGAAGTGTGCTATTCTTACTGTGCAGTGTACCACTGAAAGCAAGCAAGCATCCTATTGTTTGGATGAGATCATATTTTGTAAAAATAACTAAGTTAAGTCGATTTAAATCTCATAACTAGTCTAAGATTTGAGATTTTTTAAAGTTACCTATATTCAAAAATATTCACTGAAACCATTTCAGTGGGAGTAGTGGTAATGAAAGAAAAGAAACATTAATCTCAGTGGAATGGTTAGTAACAATAATAATTGGTACTTTACCTAGAGTTATCTAAACATTAGAACTTTCACAGATTATTAACTAATCTTTCATGCTAGCATGCTTTTGTTAGCAAGTTAGGCAACTATAACTCTCATACCACACACTGGGAAATGGAAAGGTAAAGCGACTCAGCTAACAGTTTTGGTAGGCAGTTTGCAGTAAAGGATTCAAATGCATGTGTTCTTGGTTCCTATTCTCTCAAGGTAACTGTCTACAAAAACTGCCTCAAACTGAGAAGAAGCTTTATACCTTTGGCAGATGTCCTCTGGTAAATCTAGGTTTGGCTCTGAGAGAGATGTCTGCAGTTAGAGAGGATGGTCCTGGCAAAACAGGATATGCGCTTTCATCTCGGCCTCTGCAGTTAACCCGTGGAAGCCTACGTCACTGATAAAGACTGGTTTCCACGGCAGTGTTGGGCTGCAAGTAGATGTGGTGGTACAAGCATGCATTCTCTGCTGTTCTCACTCTAAGATGATGGACAGGTGGGAATAGTAACATTTTAAACTACCCCAACTAAATTTGCAGATTTGCAAGACTATGTGTGACAGTCCTGAGCTGCAAAACTTCCCTTAGCATTAATGGATGCAAATTATATCTTTTTCCTCTAATATACTTTGAAGAAAAAAATCTCCTGATCTGTAAATGTAAGACCAATAGTCTATAACTCTACCTCTGATCTATTTTTTACATTTTTATTTTAATAATTACTGCAAGGATTTGCTTTTCAGCTGCCAGTGAAGGAGGAGCCAATGTGTTTACTGTATCATACTTCAAAAGCAGTGCCTACCTGGCTCAGTCCCCACAGCTGTACAAGCAGATGTGTATATGTGCTGACTTTGAAAAGGTTTTTTGCGTTGGGCCAGGTAAGAAAAGTGTTGGTTTATCCACAGTGTGAAGTGTGCAGTGATGGCTTTTAGCAGCTGTGGTACAAATAAGATAACATGCACACTGAAAGCTTTGAATGGTTTCACTTAATATAGTTTCACTTACCAAACACAAATTTCAGTTGGGGCGACTAATGAGAGTAAAGTTGATGGAGAAGTTGCTGGAACAAAACTAAAATGCTGAAATACGCATGGAGTACTCTTCTCCAGTGTCTGCTGTTCTGTGAGGAGAAGGAATAGAGTTGCATTGGAAATTGATGATATGATGAAGTTAGTAAAACATGGAACAACACTGTGGTTACTGAAGCCATAGTTTCCTATTAACCATGCCCAGCAGTTGCCTAGTTGCCTTTAGTTGCCCAGTAGTAAGCAGTTAAAACAGGCAAGCTAGGTTTTATGTGCTTCAGATTGCATATTAACATATACTTATCCCTTGGTTTTGTATATGTACCAAACAACTTTATTTAGAAAACACATACGTTTAACTGGGCTGTCAGTAAATAATAAAAAATTAGTAATTTCCAGGCTCGTGCTCTCTTTCTCAAAAGCTGATAGGACATGGCCTCTTTAGGTGGTAATACAGCATTTTTTTTCTAAGACTTCAAAGACAGGTTTAAAGATACGTAAGCTGGAAATGCTGGAGAACAAGTCAGTAACAGCTTGTAAAATAAAAATGCAAGTAATTCAGAAGATCTTAAATTTCTTGTTAATTACTAACAAATCAGCCATGGTTTATAAGAAGATCTGTTTATATTAGACTCATCTATCTGAAAAAACCCCAAACCCACAGAACACACACACGTGCACAAGTTTATTTCCTCTGAAAAAGGCAGTTTTCAAATATGAATGTTCATATGTGCCTGAAAACTTGTCTGTTTTTTCCACTTCTGTCTGTTGGTCTGACAAGAGATACTGCCTCTCTACAAGTCTTGTCTGTCTTGTATCTTTGAGCACCATAGCTACAATAATGCTGTCACTGTTGTTATAAATGATGCTCCGAGGCAGCTAGTTTTCTTTTTGTTTTTCAGTGAGAATTGTCATGTCTAAAGACAGCATTGTCTGCCTGATCCAAATGCTGATGTGATTGATTGTCAGTGTTATTTTTCAAAATGGAATGATAATTTCAGGTCAGTTAGAATTTCTGTTGTTTAATTTTACAGTATTTAGAGCTGAGGACTCCAATACACACAGACACCTGACTGAGTTTGTTGGTCTGGATATTGAAATGGCTTTTAACTATCACTATCATGAAGTGGTAGATGAGATTGCAGATACCTTGGTGCAGATATTCAAGGGACTTCAGGAAAGGTAACGAGAGCATTTTCCATTTCATGAGCAACTTTGTTTGTTGGAGATTTCTTGCACTGTGGTATGAAATGGGTAAGCATTTTATCCTCAGCTTGTCAGATAATCATTAGTAATCTGATTTACAACAGAACGTCAGACATTTTTGCTTTGCTCTTAACTATTTCTTTGTCCCTGACTCTTAAAGTTCATTCAAGCCATAGGCCAGTAAACTATTTTTAGCCTGACTTGCATCTCCTAGAGTATGCTAGCTTGCACTAAGAAAACTTGTTTACTGTTGAATGGACTCCCTAACAGAAATAATCCATCATTAATTTAAAACATCCTTCTTTTTGTGCCACTACAGGTAGACTGATTGTTCTATTTTGAAATTCATACTTACTATCTAAGAAAGTTTTTCTGAATCAAATTTATTGTAACAGCCTGCATCTCTGCTATGAAAGCAGCAAAGATGATTTTCCATTATTCACAGTCTAACTCATTAAAAAGCCAGGCCAGAAGTTTAGGAAGTGTTTTTCATCTACTTACAAATTAGACTATCTTGCCAGCAGAAATGCAAATCTTTTCATCTGCTAGAAGGAAATTTCTCTTTTGTATTTGAAATAGGATATTACCCAAATCAAAGAAGAACCCAGGTAAATATTAAAAATCAAAGGGATGATTTCTCAGTGTCTTTACTGTGAAAATTTGACCTAGTCAATTATTTCTTACAAAAGGAATAGAACAGAAGTATTAGTAAAATATTAACATGTATATCACTGAAGTAGATGCATTAACTTACATGAAACATTTCATTAGGATTGTACAGAATTTGTCGAGAAGTCGCTATAAAAGTTTTTTATGTTGCAAGAGGGACCTCTTGTGGCAAAATTTTATTGCCATTGCAAAATCATTATTAGATGCAAGAAGAATACATTTCTTGATTGTTTTTTATTTTGCTTCTGTTCTTGTTACTCCTATATAGATTCCAAACTGAAATTCAGACAGTGAACAAACAGTTCCCGTGTGAGCCATTTAAGTTTTTGGAGCCAACTCTGAGGCTGGAATACCGTGAAGCTGTGGCCATGCTTAGAGAGGCTGGTGTTGAAATGGGTGATGAAGAAGATCTGAGGTACTTGGGCAGTACAAAAATGTGTCAGAGCCTTGTGAAAGTGGTAGTGAAGTGCCAGTTTTGCACTGTGCAACTGACAGCCATTGAGAAGGAGCCACAAGCTTTTAGAGGAATAAGCAGTACTCATATCCAGATCTCTTGATAAATAAATGGATATGAAAATAGTCCTTTCTTCTAACATAGACTATACATATGAAGTCTGAAATCCAAAAGAAAATAACTTACAACATAAAGTGAGAGTAACTTCAACCTTCTAAGGATAAGAAGCATTTGTTTTTCTAACAATTGCAGTCCTTCATGTGAATTGTCACATGTTTTTGAATAGGATTAAACAAAAAGATTCTTCAGTCTTAAGGTCTTTTTTTTCAGTAACACCTTCCTATTTCTTCTCTCCAGGAAAATGATTAAGCACTCATGATTGCATTCCCATTGATTTACTGAAAGATGGGTTTAATTAACTGTATATAAACTTCTCTAACGACACTTAATAAATTAAAACTTTTCTGTCCTTTCCCATATTATATCCATTAGGATAATGTGTGATTTTACAGTTAAACGATCTGCGCATCAAAGAATTTTCAATCGTAAGAGTTTGCTAGAGCAAAATAACTTCCTTAGCAACTGCTTATGGTGTTTCTCACTTATTGTGCCTAAGAAGAAATGGCTGCATAAGGTATATGCCAATAGGAAGTAGAGTACACAGTTCTTCAGTAATCAGAATCTGATGACTAGGAAGTAGTTACATTAAGAGCAAGAATATCTTAAGATATCAGTTAATTTAGGAACAAAAATAAATATACTTTATTTCTGTCTGCACAATCCAAAACATTCAGAAACAAGTACTGGATTTTCTAAAGGGCAGGGTGCAGCAGATCTGTAGCTTGAAATCTTTTTAGCTTTATGAAGTATATAATCAGGACAAGTTTAAATCACTTAATTTTAATGGTGATAATCTTTTTCAGCACACCTAATGAAAAGCTTCTGGGACGCCTGGTAAAGGAAAAGGTAACAATTATTTTAGAATAAATAAATTTTTCATTGAATCTGAAACCTGATGTCATGGAGTCATTGGGTTGGTATAAACGCCTACTTCATGTAAAACAACTTTTTACACACTGATTGAGAATACAGTATCTCGGAACACGCAGAAGTTGTGAAGAGTTTGTGATCAGCATAAGCATTTTTTAATTGTCTGACTGCATTCCCATTTTGCTGCTGCTTATTTAATCTACTGACAGTTTTGTCTTTATCATTAATAAGCTGTTTCAAACCATTTTCAATCTTTTATATTTATTTCTATCATCTGTTATACTGAGCGCACCAAACAGGATAGAACGTTCCAAAACCAGTTTTTACGATAATAAAAAAAAATGCCAAACCAGATTCTAACTAAATCTATAGGAGAACACAAGATCTTTGGGAAAAAAATGAGTACCTGTTACTACAGCAAGACATTTTACTGCTGAACATTTATAAGTTTATACTAGAAGTAGTTTTGGAAAACTGAAAAAAATAATACACCACTTTTATTGATAACTATTATTTTTTAAGATAATACTGTCAAATTTGTGGAAAGTTATTGTAAATCTTTATTTTATTTCAAAGATGCACTGGTTGTGTCTTCTTGTAATTTGTTCTTTACATCATTTTCTCTTGTACTAACTGTTTCAAATTACCTTCTTTCAGTATGATACGGACTTCTATATTCTTGACAAATATCCTCTTGCTGTGAGGCCTTTTTATACAATGCCAGACCCAGTAAACCCTGTAAGTAAAATTCTTTGTTGTTGTCAATAGGGGTTTTTTTGTAGTTTAAATTATTCCCTGTAGGGATAACTTGACAAAATAGATAAAGTCTATTTATATGATCTGCTGTTATAATTAAAATTCTGATAACAAGATTAGGTCAGTGTTACATGACTTGTAAAGTGTTTACAGTTACTCTTCACTGGTGAAAACATACCAAAAGAAACAAATCTAGCTAAAACTGTGAGATCTTTGTGAAGAGATCTTCATGGTCAGAGCACTGCTGCCATCACTGAAAAGAGGCAAAAACATTTTTCTACGGCAACAGGCACTTTAACAGAAAAGATGCTTTTTTACATTGTTAGAAATTCCTCAGTTTATTCCTAAATCCAGGGTAAATATCTTTAGAACATCTTTTGCTGGGATAGCTACATGCAAGTGTAATGGTTTTTCAAAGGGCATGTGGATCAGCTTCAGATTTTTAAATCAACTCCAGTGTAATGAGAGGAGCAAAAGGGGCTGTAATTCCCAGGCAGACTCCAAATATATTGCACTCTTAATGCACGACTTTGGATATCATAAGTGAACTTGAGAGGTGCATATTTGCCGCCTAAGGATGCAATAGCTCTAAGTGGGAAATAAACTCATCTTTGTTTTTCCAGAAAAACTCTAACTCTTACGATATGTTCATGAGAGGGGAAGAGATCTTGTCCGGAGCTCAGAGAATTCACGATCCTCAGCTGCTGACAGAAAGAGCCCAGCATCATGGCATCGGTAACAAGTCAAACAACATGAAGCTGAATTTAAAAGAATATAAATCATGATTGGATTTGTTTCCTTTAGAGGAAGAATTTGGGGTAGAATTTGTTGTATGGCAGTAGTGCTAAAATCACAGTACTGTTTCATTCTTAATGTTAACCCATCTAATTCTGTTTAACTATTTTACTCTAGAGTGGTGGTATTAAGAAACTAGCTAGTTTCCCAGCAACCCCTTCATGAAAAGGAATTGTTTCTGAGGACTTTAGAGAGATTGTAATGCAGGAAATACCTTCAACAGAATGAGGGTAGACAAACAAGTTTCATTTGGTTGTGCCTCTCTGTACTCTCACAAAGTTTTTACAGAGTACTCTAGCAGAGTCTTGGTTGGCTGTCCTTTTTAAATCTTGAACAGAGAGCAAATAAGGAAGAAGTGTCTGTTGGGGAAAATAAAAAAAAAAAAAAAAAAAAAAAGACTCAGCAGGGACAAGGCCAGCAAGTAATAGAAGGGTAAAATAGTAAATTAGGTGGAGATCACAAGAGTAAAATGTAGATTAAAATTATGCTTTCAGTGATGGCAAAGTGAAGTGGTAGGTACACAGTAGCAAAAAAGGAGTAGCTCCCACTGTAGCAAGATGGGAAAATAGTTGCTAAAGCTTCGCTTTCTCACTGCAGTTTATTCACAAAGTCACCATTTTCCATAAGTTACAATGAACAATTGGGCCTAGGTCTTACTCAAGTCTAGAATTTCTTCCCTGATTAAGTTATTAACAAAATTATAAAACAAAACTGTTACAGTCATAATTCTAGGTAGTCCTGGGTAATTTATATGTTTAATGAGTAAAAACCCCACTGTTAGTTTGTAAGTTAAATTAGTAAATTTTTTGTTGTGTTTGCAGTCCTCTAGTCACTTTTATATTTGGCTTGGGGTTCATTAAGGAGGTGAGAAACATATCTTTTTCCTCTCTAGATTTAGAGAAAATAAAGGCTTACATCGATTCCTTTCGTTTTGGTGCACCTCCACATGCAGGTGGTGGAATAGGTAAGTATCCGTTTGTTTTTGGTTTTTTTTTTTTTTTTTCTGTGTTAGCCTGAGCTTAATTTAAACTGCTCAGTCTCAAGCAGGGTTCAATATAAAATTCAAGCAGCCCTGTTAGGTAAATGTGTGGGGCTGTTATCCTGGAGAATTTAAAGAGATAAGGTAAAATGTAAGGATTATTGTAAAATAAATAGGCAAAATATTAATGGCACAGTCTGGCAAGTTTAAAAAAGTAGGCGATCACCAGAAAAAGTGCCCATTTATTAGCCAGGCACGTCACCTTCAAATTTGACCAATGAGGAAGATTTAAGGAATCAAGAAAGCACTGTATTATGTATGGATTTATCATAGCCCACTAATAACAGAAGCCACTGGTCTCAGTGCATTTGATGAAGCTGTTCTGCAGTGAGGAGAGATAAGTGATTGCTCCTGTTTTATTCAGTGATTTGACTGAATGTCACTGATCAGTTTGGCTTATGCTAATTTTTTCAGGAAAGGTATTGGGGCTTCATGTCTTGGGTGTGAGTATTTTACATATTAAAATGAAAAAAAAATAGGGTTTAGGCATCTTAATGGTAACAATTTACAGTTACGCATATTGCTTTCATTAGCAGGATGAAATCTGTTCATGCATGTGGAAATAGGACACTTTGTAGGTCCTGATCAATAAACAGAATTTCTTTGATTCAGTCTTTCTGCATTTGCCTTACTTTTGTAAAGTATATTTAGTACATTTTCAGCATGTTCTCAGAACAACTTCCTAAGTATGCCTTCAGTAAATGCATTAGATCTGCAATATGCTGTTGAGACAGTTGTTTTGAAACACCTGTAAGATGTAAGCATCGATGATGATGTAGTACTTGTGAGCAGAGGAGATGCAGCATTTGCAGATGACGCAAAATCATTTAGGCCAGTCAGAACTGACATCAAGGAAGCTGAAGCTACATCTCTTCTGCAGAGTAAATGCTCTTCATGGCACATCCCAGAGGTCAGGCCAAGTACCAGCCAAACAGGAGATGCTGTGAGAATTAACACTGGTTTCTAGCTGTTTCAGATGGAAACCTTAACAAAGGAGCACAGTATGTGAAAACTAGTATGCATCTGGGTTTCATCTCATGTAGCCCCATGGATTAGAAAGTCCGTCCATGTTCCACAGTACACACATAACCTCTGAGATTTCAGAAAGAAAGAACACAATGACCGGTGAAATATTTATTATCATAAAGATCCCAGGAGATAGTTACATGGGTATGTGTTGCTGAATCTACATTTTTGTACTGTAGAGGGTTTGGGATAAAATTTCTCAACTGTAGGTTTTTACTGTAGTTGCTTATGGCACTTAATGTCTCTTACTCCGAATCTGTTAAGACTGGTTTGGACTATACTTCTGTTACTGTATTCAAGATACAGTTCTCCCGCTTACCCACCTCCCATTTCAATTTTCTGCACCATCTTTCTTGAAAGTCCAAAGTGATTCAGAGCACGGTTGAGTCTCAAGGACCATTGCTTATTGATACATGTTCCAAATAAAGTCTGTATTGTGGCAGAAGGCACTGTATGTAAAATCCCTAATTTTTGGTTCTAGCTCCTTTCTGTACTAGGACGTGCTAATGCATACATCTCAGTCTTTGGTCACACTACTATTTGAGGCTGGCTGTAGGTATAGAGTACCTTTAACTTCCAAAGAGTTTCAAACAAAAGACTGACTATACTGATCGTTTTTTTTCCATTTGTTGTAGGGCTGGAAAGAGTAACCATGCTGTACCTAGGGCTGCATAATGTTCGTCAGACCTCCATGTTCCCACGGGATCCCAAACGACTGACACCCTAACATGAACTGCTTTTGAAAGTTTGAGATGATTTGCCCTGCAAATATGATACAATTGCAAGCATATCCCCTGCTACTGTTGAACGTCTATTGATTTGAGTATTATAATATACAATTAAAAAAAAAAGAACATCTCGTTTACTAAAGTGCCACAATATTTTTTTTTATCCTTAGCTGTTTATTTAAAAGAAAATATTTTCACAGATCAAGACTCTTTGTATTGGCAACTGTGCACATTTTTAATGAAAATGTGATACTTTGAGTTAGTATTCTTAGTGTCACAGTAAACTGAATCATGTTTCTAAACATTTTAATAAATTATGCAATAAAAATTCTGCATTTTTAACTTATGTCAGCAAGGTTGAATATTCTGAATTACAGAATTGGCTCAAAGCTAAAATAACTGGATGCTTGCAATTTGAAAATCAGGAGGAAACCAGCCAATTGTTAATTTACATGAGTGTCAGGTAGAGAAGCAGGTGAGAAGAAGAGTCTTCTTAACAAAAAGGCTTCATATGAAATTGTGAAAATAGATTGCAATAAATCTCTCAAAGTAAATTAGATCCAATATCTCTCTCTCTGGTTTTTGCTTTGTATCCTCACAAGATAATCATGAACCAGTAAGGGTTGGGGTTTTTTTTAATGATGCAATAACTGCCTAAAGTTTAAATCTATTTCCTTTGTATCTTCTCCCCCCCCCCTTTTTTTTTTGAAACTTGTATACAAGCCATAGACTTGTTCTTTATTTTATATTACTATTTGAGAATGGATAGAAGGTTACACACACTCATGGAATACACAAGGGATATATAGTATTCTGAGAAAATAAATGGACAGCGAGTTTGAGAGCAGGTAGTGTGTTTTCCTGCCTGACCCAGCCTCTAGGATAACAAACAAAACAAATCAGCAAGGATTTCATGTATCTGTTGGCAATGAAAAAAAAGCAAATAATGTAAGCCAACCTATTTCAGTTTTTTTCATTTATAAATGCTGTGAAGAGCCCAGCTGTGTACATTTAGAGAAATTGGGTGTTTCTGTAAGTCAGAGTACTTCTGAAATTCTTTCTAGACATCCTTTTTCTCAAATGAATCACTTGAACCTCCTTAATTTGCAGTGATGTGCAAAGCTACTTCTCTTCCTCCTCCTCCCAACCAAAAGGATGTGCCCTGCGTTTGGAGAGGAACCAGTGTATTTGAAAATTCCTTTTATGGACTGATAGTTGTTTTTCAAATTTAAAACATTTTTGTAAGTGTGGATGCCAAGGAGCAACATTCCTTACTTGGGCACTGCAATAGAGTTACTTTAATATTCATACATATTTGTAATTCCTGACTTAATTTTTGCTTAACATTTTACATGATAAAGCTTTCAGGAGGAGGTATGGTTTAGACAGTCTGTGTTATTGTTGCTACCTTGATTTTTAAATGTCAGAGAAGTCACATATTGGTTATGCTGCAAAAAGGTCAGTGAGGCTGTGTATAAATTGTGCAGAATTTCACAAAAGGGCAAATCATCTTTTGCAGCTGCCATTGAACAAGACTTAATTTTAATGTTTTGTGATGAGTTCTCCATTAGAAAACAATCATACTAAAGGTCAGTTAGGTAAAGTACTGGAAATGTAAAAGTTAAACTTTGTTTAGAAGTCAGACAATTCAAGGAATAACATACTTTGCAGCTTTGCTTATGAGTCTGTTGTAATTAATTTACCATGGAGTCTTCCCCAAATTATTAACTTTAAAATCTTACAGTGTACCCAGTTGTACTTTACAAAGCTAAGTGCATTGTATCATCACAGACTTACTACTGATGAATCCAAGTTTCAAAACAGTTGTTTATTCAGCTAAGCCAACTGGAATGAATTTAACTTAATTACTTTTGTTCATAGGAACTGGTAATATATTCCACATCGGAAGTGCATCCTTCCAATAAGGAGCAAAATTACTGACTTATATTTCATGCCAACAACAAACCCCCCCCCCCCCAAAAAAAAAAAAAAAACCCTCTGAGAACTACGTTTCTTGCTCTAGAATTCAGCAAATACGTTCCTGTAAGAACTGTGCTTATCCCAGTTCTGTTAAGAGTTATTTGAGCTCATGCTGTAGTTTGATTTATTAACAGTAGCTGCACAAGAACAAGAATTCGGATGGAGACTGTGATTCCTTTGTATGCAGAATCCTTTCATGCAGCTTTTCTTAGCTAACTGAAAATAATTATGATCATAAATCAAACTGCAAAATGCATTTGTCCTGAATGTAATCTTAACAGGATATTTTAGTGGGAAATGTGCATTGTTAGAACTTGGTTTGAAATCTTGCAAACAGTAACTTCAGAACTTTTATGTTGCTTTGATAGGGAGCAACTCTGGTTTGGTAGTTTTGGAAGTCAAACTTGTGTAGTCCTTTATTCCCAGTAACTTGCAGGAAGTTTAGCATTTTACATGGAGTCTACAATCCTGCTGCTTCTCCACCAGTTAAAATGTTTTGGGTTTTTTTTTTTTTCTTTCATGATATATAAATGGTAATTACAATAATGCAATTTTTTAAACTAAGGAACTATAAAGGATATTGGTAAGGAATAGCCAGGGAGTCATCTGCTCAAAACAAACACAAAGCTTTACTTTGCTTCTGAAGCTCAACTACAACATTTTCCTGTGAAAACCCATCTGTGTTCACTGAGCTCTCCAAATCTGCCCAGCAGGAAAGAGGACTCAGGCTGTGCTTTTGGAAGCAAAGTGCAGGACTGGTTCCCCACACCTGTTGGGGGTTAACCCTGGGGGGCAGCTCAGCACCACACAGCTGCTTGCTCCCTGCCCAGTGGGAGTGGGGAAGAGGAAAGGAAGGGTAAAAGCAGATAAACTTTGTGCTTCCACCCCAGGCCAGTTAATTCCAGGTGTATTGGACACCCCTCCACATGAAAGCAAACCGTGGCCTGGGCTCTGCTGCCAAAGGGATGGAGGAGAAGGCGTTGGCAATATTCATTGTGGCACACCGCTTGGCTGCCTTGGACTCCAAGGTTATCAAGTTAATTCTACTATTTTCTTATTTTCTTTGGATTTAAAAGACAGTGTAAGCACAGGATAAATTGTAAACAGCCGGGCAGTTTTTCTTGGACGTTGCCACCTCTTTAGCCCTTAGCTGTCTTCAAAAGGAGAAAAAAAAACCAACCACCACAACAACAAAAAAAACCTCAAAAGCTGTAATTATGTACTAAGACACAACAGTCTGCATTAAAGCAATACCAGCTTTCAAAAAAGACTAACCCAGCCAGAACCTCTACTCTGACCTCTGCAGTGAACAGTGAGTGAATCGCATATAATAAGATTCAGCTCTGCACAACAAACCAAATTGCCAGGCAGCCTTTACCATTTTGCAATTAAAGACTGTGTTCACAGTATGGCAAGTACACCGTAACATGAAATAACACTACTGCAGGAAGCTTGGGCCGCTAGCGCTTTTTAAAGGGTTTCAGAACTGAAAAAGAGTCAGCCCTTAGCTACCTTAATTACAGCAAAATTCCCGGTTTAGGCAGAGATTAATGACTTTGCAGGTGGCAGAGCGATTCTAAGCAATTTTTCATAGATACTGAAACAGTTCCCGCTGGCACGCATCGCGGGCCACCAGCTGCTCTTCAGTCCCGGCTGTCAGCCACGGCATCGCCTGGCACAAGCGGCCTTAGGCCATCCCGCTCGCCAACGCCACGAACGAGGAGCCAAGCCTCCCTCCAAACTTAGGCCTGACCCTCACCTGGCTTAATGTACACCCTTTTCACCTGAGGGAAGTCCCTCAGGCGCAGCCCACCTACTGCCCGAGCTGCCCGAGACACCTTCCACGCAGGGAGTGGGGGTTTCCACGGCTCCACGTTTCCCCCGCAGCGCCCCGGGTGCACGAGTGGAGTTTTAAACTCCGGTTACTGTCGCTGCTCAGCTCACCGCAGCTAAACACCGTGCTGGCCGCCTTCCTCCACCACAGGCTTAAGTCCTCCCCGGCGTTTACCAGTTCACTGACAACACCAACACCCCCCACAGCGCTTACAGGAAGCCCAGCGCAAGACTGAGGAAGCGGGATACTGACCAGGCTGCCCGCCTGCCGCCGGAATTTACACTCTAAGCCCCCACCCGGGGCGGGAACCCGCCTCCCCCACGCCGAGCACGGCCGAAGGCCGCCCCGCCAGGCGAACTCGCCTTTGGCGCGAAAACGTCCGCCAGGCCGGCGGGAAGCAGGGGCGGCGGGGCGGGGCTCTGCGGGACGGCGGCCGCCG